AAAAAAAAAAAAAAGAACCGAAGACATAATATGTAAAAGACAGAAATATGCATAGGAAATTGACAGATGACTATGTCTAAAGTGTCTACTACCTCACTTCCAGGGTAAGACCTAGTACCTATACACTCTGGAAACCACAAGGCCATAATTGTGATCTTTTAGGGAGCAAGATGAGATTACAGATCATGTGCCAGCCAGTTTCATTGCAACCATCTTTAAGTGCCCAAAGTGTCAAAAGGGTAAAAAATGCTGGGCAAAGAAAGCAAAAGAAAAGCTACCTATGGCACAAGAGATGTAATATACCAGGTTCTGTAAGGGAGCTCCTAGAATGTGAAAGATTCAGGTTTAGAAATGAGCTCCAGCAAGTCACACTCACACAAAATCATATTTCCCTAAAATAAGGGTCTATCCTCAGTACCATCAGGTAACAGAGGTCCTAGATCAGTTAGTCAGAATTTCTGGCAGTGACAGAGACAAGAGGCAGAAAAGTTACAGCGAGAAGCTTTGCCAGCTATCCAAGTACACACATAGAAGGGAAGAAAGGGGCTCATATTCCCTCCTTAAAAGAGCTGAGCTTAGTCATGTGTGGTGGCACATACTCTAATCCTAGCAACTTGAGGGGCTRAGGCTGGAGTATCTCAAATTRGAGGCCAGCCTAGGCAACTTAGCCAGACACTGTCTCTAACTATTTATTTATGTATTTTTGTATTTATTTACTTATTTATTTGTTGTAGTTGGCACAGTACCCTTATTTATTTATTTTTATGTGGTGCTGAGGATCAAATGCAGGGCCTCACATGCTAGGCGAGCGCTCTACTGCTGAGCCACAATTCCAGCCCCAGACACTGTCTCTAAATAAAACAAAAAGGGCTAGGAATATGGCTCAGATGTAGAATGTCCTTGAGTTCAATCCTCAATAGTGCAGAAAAAAAAAATAATGCTTTTCAGACCAAGCCCTATAAGGGTTTAATTCCTTTCACATTTCAATCCTTCTAGGGATCCTTATGTGTTTGAGGAGGATTTAGTCAGCAACTCCCATATCTGTGGTTCCTTAATTACGTGAATCTGGATGCTGTTGAAGTTAATAAAAATAGTTTTAAAAACATTGCTGATTGGGCTGGGGATGTGGCTCAAGGGGTAGCGCGCTCGCCTGGCATGCGCAGGGGCTGGGTTCAATCCTCAGCACCACATACAAATAAAGATGTCATGTCCACCAAAAACTAAAAAATAAATATTAAAAATTAAAAAAAAAAAAAAMAACATTGCTGATTGCCCAGGGTTGGCCTTGAACTTGTGATGTTCCTGCCTCAGCCTCTGGAGTAGTTGGGATTATGGACATGGTATATGCCTGACAGGTTGTTTGTTTTCTTATTTTTGAGTTTTAAGAGTTCTTTATATATTTTAAGAGCCCTTTGTTAGATATGTCTTTTACAAATATTTTGTCCTAAAGACTCAAATAAAGAAATTTGAGTTGGCCTGGAAAAAAAATGTTGAATTCTTTGTAAAATTGTATTTTTTTTTATTCCAAACTGTGACTTGGCAATATAAAAACTAACAAGTGGTAGGGTCTGAAATTGAAGTTAAAAAGAGGATCAATAATTTAAGAGATTTTGTCAGTATGGTGGCACATGCCTGCAATCCCAGTGATTTAGCAGGCTGAGGAAGGAGGATCACAAGTTCAAGAGCAGTGTCAGCAACTCAGGAAGGCCCTTAACAACTTAGTGAGACCTTCCCTCAAAATGAAAAATAAAATGGGCTGGGGATGTGTCTGAGTGTTTAAGCATACCTGGGTTCAATCACTGGTGTATATGTATGTATGTGTGTCTGTGTATGTGTGTATGTATGTATATATATATATATATATATATGATTTTTAAAACAGTTTCAGTGTTTTGGAAAGGAGATAAGGGGGTTTCCAATGTGTATTTTTCTGTGAGGTCCAATTTAAGATACAACTTTTTTTTTTTCAGTTGTAGATGGACAATATCTTTGTTTTATTTATTTATTTGTGTGGTGCTGAGGATCAAATGCAGTGCCTCACCATGCCAGCCAAGCGCACAACCACTGAGCTACAACCCTAGTCCTTAAGATACAATTAAAAAAAAAATATATATATATATATATATATATATATTTATTTWTATTTTATTTTTTTAGTTTTAGGTGGACATAATATCTTTATTTTATTTTTATGTGGTGCCGAGAGTCGAACCCAGTGCCTCATGCATGCCAGGCGAACGCGCTACCACTTGAGCCACATCCCCAGCCCCAAGATACAATTTTTATTAACTAAAATTTTTTGTTGTTGTTGAAGGAAGGGGAAAGAATGACCAACCTACAGATCCTGGGGTACCTTTGCAAAGTGCCTATAGGGTGGCACAGAGCTGCCAGCCAGCCCCAAGCACCTGAATGTTATTGTTCTCCCTCCCTCAGTGTACCTATGAAATAAAAAGGAACCTCAGTCTAACAAGACAACTGTCTCATTAAACTCTGATTCTAAGAATATCCAATAGAGCAAGTACAGTCCTGTACTTAGCACCCCTCTTCCCATCCACAGGGTGCTCCAGAATCTTTTCTCCACCTGGTCAGCTCTACCTGTTGCAGCTGCCTCTCGCTCGCTCATACCAGTAACTTCCTCTSAATCCTAAATGCCTTAAAACTGCGTTTTATTCTCCTTACTTCTCACTCAGCAAACCCTCCTTAATTCCAGGTGGAAAATACACCTGTTTCCCTCTCAAGGGCTTTGAGCTATCTTTAAATGTAAAGACACATTTTTTCTTCTTAGATTAGCTAATGGTTTATTTGCCTGGTTTCCCCACTCAAAGAACCAAAGCAATTTCTGTTCTCACAATAGTTCCTGTTTTTATTTTTATTAACTCTTGTCTTTTTATGGTAGTGCTAAGCAGTAAGCTGTATCTGGCACATGATACTCATATGTGAATGAATAAATGTAGACTTACATATTTATGTCTGCAAAATATGCACTGAAATTTCTGGCAAGATGTTACCAAGGAGTGAGGTTTCTTTAAATTTTTATTTTTTATTGAATTATTTATTTATTTACTTACTTACTTATTTGTGGTACCAAGGATTGAACCCAGGAGTGTTTAACCACTGAGACACCCCCTCCCTAGCTCTTTCTATTTGAGACAGGGTCTCATCAAGTTGGTGAGGCTGGCCTTGAACTTGGGATTCTCCTGCTTCAGCCTCCTAAGTTGCTGGTATTATAGTATGCACCACCACACCCAGCTGGATTTTATATTTCTTCAGTATTATTCACACACAAATAAAACTATTTTCAAGTAAAGAAGAAAAAGTTGTTGTCACTTAACTTCCAATGGCAAACCTTCACACAACAGCCCCCACACTTCCCAAACTATGTTGACTGTCCCTTCTACACATGCCCCAAACTTCCTGAGGTAAATGTTACTGCTACTACTATTTAATATCATTAGCCCCATTTACAGATGAAACACGTTACTATGAAATCACTAGCCCAAGGCCACAGAACAGGTAAACAGGGCAACTGACTTCCAAACCATAGCAGGTGGCCACTGAGCCAAGGGTTTTAGCCACTGTCCCCTAGACCCTCATCTGTACTTCCCCTTATTCTGGTTCTTATTATACAGTTACTGCTTATTTTTCTGTTATCCCCAGACCTAAGGGTAAGGACTTCATCTATCTGGCCTCTGGCTGGATTCCTGGGGCCTACTACACTGTAGCAGCTCCATGAACACTTGCTAACAATCACAGGTCCAGAGACCCCAGACCAGGCTTCTATTCCTAGACAATAAACAGAGTTACGGAGGTTCACTATCAAGCCCAAACCACTTCCTGAATCCAGTTCTACCATTTTTAACTCAGTCTAAGCTAGTATCACAGTAATACCAAAACCAAATGTAAAGAAGCAAACAATTCTAGTCCTTCCCCTCCAACAAATAGGTATCACCCCCCCCAAAAAATAACCTCAATTACTAGTGTGAGGCCTTGCAAAGAGTGAAAAGTAAAATCAAACTCCAGTAACTCCTCTAGAGTGAAGATGATGTACAGTAGTCCCCGCCTGGAGAATAAGGCTCCGCTAGACAAGGTGARGGTGAAAGAATAAAAAGCAGACAAGCAGAAAAGGCAGAGCAGAAGTCAGGAAATCCAGCTTTTAACCCCATTCCATGTACCACCTCGGTAATCTTGAGCAGAGGCAAGTTGCCTCTTTGGGCTTCAACTTTCTCCTCTGCAGAATGGGCCAATACTGTCTTCTTGGGGGATGCAGCATAATGTATGAGACCCTAACACCTACCAACCAGYAGCTAATCAACAAATATTAGTTTCCTTCTCTTTAAGAGCTAGACTGAATCAGCAATGAAATTGTTTGCCTTCCAGGAAAAGCTTCTTTGAGGTGACCAAGACCAAGTTCTTCCACCTACTGTTATTTGGCATCACCTGGGAGCATGTTAGAAAACATCCCCACCTCAAAAGTAGTGAAATCAGATTCTGCATTGTAACAAGATCCCAGGGGTAGAGAGCTGGGCTTAATATCAGAATGCCATCAGGATAGAGGTAAACTGCCAGCCAGCCCTGAGGGGAGTAGAAAAAAGGGGAAGGGCAAGGTAAAAGAAAAGTCCTCATTGAGCAACTGTAGGCTAAAGGATCATAGGAGGTAAGTTTACCTAACTCTGGAAGGAGTTAGGAAGAGATAAGAACCATAAATAAGGGGCCTTAACAAAGCCCAGTTCTTTAGGACTGGAGATCCCCACAGAGGAAGGTGACCATACTTTCTATAACCTTCATAAAGAGGCCTTAATATATTCATTTACTTAGGAACCCCAGCAGACCTCATGAGTCGGGCACTCTTAAGAGAAATACCCACTGTAAGATTGAGGAAACTAAGGCTTACTCCTTAAACTCCTCTGAGCAGGCTGTTCCTCTGCTTGTAAGCATTTTCTGGTTCCCTGTGGCCCACAGTAGCAGTATTACAGCATGTAAGTATCTAGGGAGTTCTGAGAAGGCAGATTCTGGAAACTCTGATTCAGAAGGACCAGGGTGGCTCTAGAATCTGTACTTTTTTTTTTTT